TTTGGATCTCATGACTTGGATCTAATGTGGATTGTTAGCAGTTAGACTTTATAAAGTCAAGTGTGTTCATTTCCAAATCACGTCCAATCCAGCCAAAAGAAATCTTCCACAAGTTAACTCCAATCAAAGTATAATAAATAAATAATTTTCCTCGTTAATCATCAGATTACACTAAAATTAAAGTGTCAGATAGACAGTACAGTAAATATAAACACTGTTAAAATTGAGAACAAATAATAATTACCAATTTAGCATTTCTGAATTATATCTAAAGGATCATCTTGTAATAAACACTCTACATTACATCTAATATCCTCTAGATGGCAGCAGCCTATCGTCTTATATTTATAAAGGAGATAGGAAAACACATTAAAATTGCAATATATATTTAATAGTTAAACCAAAAGCTTCTATCTGGCAGAAAAAAAGAGCTTCATATTTATCAGTTATACATAAACCAATTATATTAGAAAACATTATTTGCCATATTTCCACTAGAAACACATTTATTTGTGCCCTAGGACGGCCACTGAATTCCCCTTAGCTTGAATGTCATTGATCCATGCAAAGGGACATGCTGAATATGATACGGCAGGATCGATACTGTGGTCCCATTTGCACCATCAGCCAAGCAGCCTCGTGTCTGAAAAGCCTTGAGCCACAATGAGTACAATCTGAGACATCAGCCTTTAGTGGTTGTTAACCTTGATTCACCCCACAGACCAGTCATCACAATCTGATCCAAGCACACTTCGTGCCCTTCAGCAGGGTCAGAGGCCGTCGCCCCACATCCACATCGCTGTTTCATCAATTATTTTTGCCGTTGTAGTTTGTTAGTGCTGCTCTTTTGTTCTAAACTTGGGAAGCAATAAAGTCGCACATAATTCACATGCTGTGCTACAGACATGATGCATCAAATAGGCTGGCTTATTGAGGAGAGAGGTGATATATTACTTTTCTAAGCTGCTTACACTATTATTTATAATAGGATTGGAATAAAATGAGCAAAAAAGCCGAACAGTTCGACTCTCCAGAGGTAAAAGCTTTACATGGTTTTAACGTTTGCTTTATGGTTAGGTGATCATGTGAACATTATACATGTAGAGGGTTTACAGTTTGAATACTTTGATTATGTAGTAAATCTATTTTGTTGTTTTAGAGGGACCTAATTCAGTTTTGGAGTCTTCTAAAACACCTGCTTCAAATGTTACCCTCGATTGAAAGGCTGTTATCAACAGATAGATATGGGCCTGTAGGGGCTGGCTTATATAGTTACGGCTGTTATCATCCATCCACAGGTTTAATCAGCTACAGTATACTAATAGGGAAGACTCCAGATCCAGTTTTTAAATTACTGTGACAGTTGGGTTTAGGGTTGGGTGGAGGTAGATAGTAATAAAATACAATTAATGGGAAATTGAAAAACTAATATAATTAATTCTTGTTTACTTCTACAGTAAACAAGAATGGCTACAGCCGTATGATCTATAGCTGATTAACCACGTGGATGGATTAAAACAGCCTTCTGAGCCTACTACATTGGAAAAAATGTTGTCTACAAAATTGTTGCAAACTATTTATTTGTGTTGAATTTAAACAAATAAATGTAGTAATGTTTAACTTAATTTGTTTAAACTCAGCATAAAACAACTTGTTAACAACCACTTACCTTAAAAAAATTAAGTAAATCCAAGGAATCATCTTTGAATTATTTTTTTCAGTGTATAGTAGGCACAGAAGGCTCCTTCTGACCCATATCTTTCAGCTGACTACCACTGATAATGCCCATTAAATTGAGAGATACAGTAACATTCAAATCTGCTGTCTACAATAGGTTTTACAACCAAAGAACTTTTACATCTAAAGTCATTTTTTCATAATACCCACTGCAGGATCAGCTCTTTTCCATTTTTGTATTTCAGCTACAGAGGCTTACTCAGCACAATTTGTATATGGCTTCTCTACACACAGAGTTCTTTTTACACTTTGGGTTCAGTGTCTTTCCCTGTTTGACATATCTATGTTTGAGATCTGCCTTGTTAAAAATGCTACATCTTTAATATATGAAACAGTTCTCGCTATTAAAGGGTTAGTTCACACAAAAATGAAAATTAAGTTATTATTGACTCACGCTCATGTCCCATATATTCAGAACACAAATTAAAATATTTTAGATGAAATCTGGGAGGGTGACATGGTGGCGCAATAGGTAGTGCTGTCGTCTTACAGCAAGAAGGTCGCTGGTTCGAGCCTCGGGTGAGTCAGTTGGCGTTTCTGTGTTGAGTTTGCATGTTCTTACTGCATTCGCGTGGGGTTTCCTCTGGGTGCTCCGGGTTGCCCCACAGTCCAAAGACATGTGGTACAGATGAATTGGGAAGGCTAAAATGTCTGTAGTGTACGTGTATGTGTGTGAATGAGTGTGAATGGATGTTTCCCGGAGAAGAGTTGCAGCTGGAAGGGCATCCGCTGCGTAAAACATATGCTGGATAATCTGCATGGGCGACCACAGATTAATAAAGGAACTAAGCCGAAAAGAAAATGAATGAATGAAATCTGGTAGCTCTCTAACCCTCCATAGACAGCAACAGTTCTGAGAACTGTAAAGTCTAGAAAACTCCATCTGACTTCCGAGCTTCAACCGTTTTTATTATTATATGAATTATATGAAGCTCTAAGAAAGTTTGTGTGTAACAAAAAAAAACCCCAACTGTAAAATCAACTTTGTTCCCTTTCCATGTCAGGTCACTGTGTGCTTTTACTGAAGGTATTACATAACCCTATTTTCAACAGCGCAACCTTCGTATGATAACAGTTGAACCAGTGAAATCACATTTTACCTCCTTTTCTGGTCGTCTCAGGACCACTGCTGTCTGTAAAGACTGAGAGAGCTCCAGAATTTCATCTATAATACCATAACTTGTGATTTAAAGATGAACAAATGTCTCAGAATATCAAAGACATGAGTAATGAATAGCAGAATCTAAATTTTTTAGATGAACCTTCCCTTTAACTATTTGCTTATTTGCATGCCTATATAGGGCCAGACAAAATCTGTGAACTTTTTTTGCTGTTTCTGCTAAGAATTTTGTAAAAAATAAAAAATAAAAAAAAAGTCTGCAGATTTATGTGAAGTGATTATGAGAGTATCATAACTAAAAACTTACAACATAAATAATAATACCTTTTTAACTTTTATTGAATGTTTACAATGCAATTCCAATTGGATCCCTTTTTCCTACTAAAAGAGAAAATATTACTTTACAAACAGTATTGTAAGAAAAATCATATAAACATTTTCATATTAGTCAATTATATTAACGAAATTAATATAAAAACTAAATATATATATATATATATATATATATATATATAAATGTACAACCATTTACACAAGTGGGCCTACCTATTACTAACATATTGGCTGTTTAATAGTACTTTTACATTAAAAAAGAAAAAGGTTTTTTCTGTATGATTTTTAAGCTGTTTTCATCATTGGGACCAAAATAATGTCCTTACAAGGTCAGAAATGACTGGTATTACAAGTGAAGCTCTCTGTTTGATAAACACCGTATAGGAAGTGGAAGCAAACACACATGCTGAACTCCCAGAGGAGACATTCTCACTGCTGCAGTCCACAAATCCTGCATGTTATCTATCAGCAAAAACACTGCAGCACCACCCTCCCTGTAGGGCTCTGCAATCTATATATATATATATATATATATATATATATATATATATATATATATATATATATACAGGATGGACAAAATAAAAAGTCTATCGTTTCATATTTTGCTTTATCGTTTACATAGTGGTGTCTTTAAATACATTGTTTAAACTCATACTTTATCATTTATATGGATGCAATGTTACACACCATTACAGGCATGTTCAGCGAAAAAATAATAACCGCATAAACTAAAATGAAACATACACACAAACAATATTCATTCATTCATTCTTTCATTCATTTTCCTTGGGTTTAGTCTCTATTGTAGAGATCACCACAGCAGAATGAACTGCCAACTATTCTGACATATTTTTTATGCAGCGGCTGCCCTTCCAGCTGCAACCCAGTATTGTGTATCTATACACACAAACACACACACACACACACACACACACACACACACACGCACGCACGCACGCACGCACACACACACACACACACACACACACACACACACACACACACACACACACATACACACACATACACACTACGAACAATTTTAGGTAATACAATTCACATAATGCATGTCTTTGTACTGTGGGGAAAACCGACGCACCCGAAGCAAACATTCACCTTTTTGCAAACACACAATATATAACAATAAATAAATAAAAATAATAATAAATAAATAAAAAGGGAGAAGTTATACAGTATAAACCAATGGGGAAAATTTTTTCCAATCAAATGATATGCTACTGGTTTTATATTTTAACTATAATTCAAAAATGGGTTACAAATCGTTTAATTAGTTCACCTTCCTCTCAAAGAATATGTGATCATCTCCAATGGTATACAGCTGCAAACTTCTGAGATCCATAGTCTAATTGGTATATCAATGTCTGTTTTTTGTTTCAAAGCAATACAATGTTCAGCTATTGTCAATAACGGCTCGTATTTTGACGTTCTTAATCAAACATTTGCACTGAAGTTCTATATAAAGTGAAAAATATGATCACATCTGAATGAGTCCATTTTTCAGTAAATACTTTGAAATTTAAAAAAGAAAATAAATAGTCATTTCCATGTGATCAGTGTATAATTTATTATTGAATTTACACAAAAAGGTACTATATCATGAAATTCATCATTATTAGGATATAAGATGATATGATATGATATGAGGTTGTCATATCGCTCAGCCCTACTTCCCGGTGTTTACAAAAATTTCCCTGAAAGTATTGATCATGGTAAGAAATGAAAAATGTGATTTTTTTTTTGTTTTTTGCAGGATGTAGGTGTCTGTTATCATCTCAACTGGACTGACCTCTGACCTCAGCGGAGAACTGGGCTGAATGTCTGGTTATGAACAGCTGCAGTTGTTGGTCCAGATCACATTCAGACACACTGATGTCCCAGGAACGGATACCTGCAGGTACAGAGAGACGTGTTACATGATCAGCATGTGCAAAGTACTTCACCTTTACATGTGAAAGCAATGTTCATCCACACCTTTATTTCACATCAGGGGTTTTAGCCATACATCCTTCTATAATATATCATTTAGGTGATATCTGAGACAAACAGGCATCAAAAAATGTATTTTAAAAAAGACTAAATATAAATTATTGTATTATATTTATGTATAGGTAATACGTTTATATCAGGCGATTCGAATGTTATTACTCGATTGAATGGGCATTATCAGTGGTTATTAGCTGGCCTACTGCGCCTACAAGTAGGCTCAAAAGGCTGTTATCATCAATCCATGATTTAATTAATTAGCTATAGATCAGATATGGCTGCGTCTGGAGGTTAACAAGAATTATTTATATTATTTATTAAATTTCCCATGAATTTTATTAATGTCTACCCTTTCCCCAACCCTAAACCCAACCATCACAGTAATGTAAAAACAGATCTGGACCGGGAGTCTTCTCTATTAGTATAGCTGATTAACCATGTGGATGGATGATAACAGCCTACTAGTAGGCTCAGAAGGCCCCTATTGGCCCATATCTATCAGCTGATACCCAATAAAACATCCATTCAATCGAGTGATAACATTCAAAGCGGGTGTTTATATTGCATAAGATTATATTATGTAGATATTCTTGGCAGAAAGTAAAAAAAGTGTTAACTTTTTCCATGCAAAAATATATTTTTTTGCAACAGAAATGATCTTCAATGGTTCAATAATACTAAATGCAATACATTTTAAAACTCTGAGTAAAAAGTTACAATGTTTAATATTTTATTAATATTATTTTAATATTAATAATAATGTATTTCTAAAATAGTTAATTACAAAATAATAAAAAATAAATGTTTAAAATATTTAAATTATTTTAAATAAAATATTTAAATGAATTAATAGTTAATTTTTACATCATATTTTAGTAAATTTAGTGACAATATAGTGCCAAACATCAGCCATATAATCCTCCTGATGAGATTTAGTCTGTTGTGCTTAGAATATTTAATGTTACAAATGCAATAAATTCCAATAATGTGGCTTAATATTTTGAGTTAAAAGGTTTAATCTTTTATTTTTATTACTATTAATCTATATGTAATATTGATAATTTACAAAATATAAAATTACATTTAAAAATGCACAAAAAAAAGTTTAAAATAAATGTATAACATTGTTTATTTTATTTATTCTTCAAGATTTTTAAATATATTTTCTTTCGGTAGGCTTCAATTACATTTTTAATCCCAAATATAGTGCCATATATATATATATATATGAAAATAAAAAATAAACTAAATTAAATATTTCAAATAAACATATGCCATTTAATCATTTCCTTTTCGGCTTAGTCCCTTAAATAATCAGGGGTAGCCACAGCAGAATAAACCGCTGCGCCACCGTGACGCCCGAATATATAGCATTGTTTTTTTGTTTTGTTTATTTATTCCTTATATTTATTATTTAACTTTTGTTTCTTTCAATAGGCTTAAATTACATATTTAATCCCCAATATAGTGCCAGACATCAGCCATACAGTCCTCCTGATGAGATTCAGCCTGCTGTGCTCAGAATATTCACTCTTAATATTTCATAAGATCCCCAACAAAATTCAGACATCGCTTAAGCTGCTCCCTCTCTGAACTTCAAAGTCCAGACTGGGGAGTTAGGCAATGAAATGAAATCTCTGCGCCTCTTAACTCTCCCCATCCGTTTCCTTCCTCCACTCTTCTTTATATACAGATTTCTTTAGATGCATTTTAAAGAGTGAACCTTGCAAACACAGCAGCGTTTGCCCTCAGAAATGCTTTGTCATTGGGATCTACAACAGGTAATGACTGCGGAGATAAAGCAATACTTCACTTTTCTCTGAATGAGAAGTACAGAAACACAACACATCCTTTACAGCATTGATTTGGCTCTCATCGATTATGCTGATTAAAAAGTCTGTCAGGCGGGATGAGACCAAACACTTGATCAGACACCTAAAGTGATTATCAAACTGTGCAGATATATGCTCGTGAAGGTGTAAGGATTATATCCATGCCTAATATCAAACAATCAGACCGTGATGTATCTTTTAAAAATGGTTCAAATATTGGTATTTGTGATGCAGCAAGTAAAAGGTGTGCTTTATTCAATGTTCAATGTTGGGGAAATTACTTTTGAAAGGGATGCCTTACAATATTGATTTACTTTTGCGTTACTTTTCCTTACTTGGTTGAGGTTTCAAATCCTTGTCAAGAGATTTACTAAACCAGGGGCGTTGCGAGGGGGGGGCTTTGGGGGCTTAAGCCCCTGATGTATTGTCAAAAGCCCCTGATCTTTTGGAATATGTTGCACTTTAATAAAAATAGGTTGTATAACATTTATTTTGTTATCAAAGTTCTGACAATTAACACGTGTATATCACGCGTATTCTACCTAAAGCAGCGTTTGTGTCGGGTATCTAAAAAGTAATCAATTCAGCAGTACCTGTTTCTACCGGCAGGTGGGAGTGGCTCTGTTGTCACATGGTTTAAAAATATTCCGCCACTGCACATCATTCATTATTTTGAGCAGCTGAAGCTGATGAGGTAATAATACAACTGTTTCGCAAAACTGAATAGTTCTAGCTAAGTTACAGATGAAGCTTAATAATTGTTTTTTCTGCAGAAAATGTGTGTAGTTTTGGTGAAATAACATAACTGTAGGTAATCAATAAAATGTGCTGCACATTAATGTAAATACATGCGAATTAGTCAGAAACATGTAAATTGTACTTGCTTTCTAGATATGATATATATATATATATATATATATATATATATATATATATATATATATATATATATATATATATATATATATATATATATATATATATATATATAGACATCTTTATTTAGATATGATATAGCCAGTCACATATGTTTCTGTAAAAGTAATCTTGCATATTATTTTATGGCTATATTCTACAGTAACATGCTATGTCAGTTAGCAGCGGATTATAAATCGACTTTCTTATGAAAATACCTAATGCCCCCGGGCCCCCCTGTTTATTTTTTAAACACATTTCTAAACATAATAGTTTTAATAGCTCATCTCTAATAACTGATTTATTTTCTCTTTGCCATGATGACAGTAAGTAATACTTGACTAGACATGTTTAAAGAAACTTCTATACAGCTTAAAGTGACATTTAAAGGCAGGTTAGGGTAATTTGGCAAGTCGTTGTATAACGATAGTTTTTTTATGCTGACTATCGGAAAAAAAATATAGCTTAAAGGGGCTAATTATTTTGACCCTTAAATGGTTTTTAAAAAATGTAAAACTGCTTTTATTATAGCCTAAATAAAACAAATAAGACTTTCTCCAGAAGAAAAAGTATTATCAGACATACTGTGAAAATGTCCTTGCTCTGTTAAACATCATTTTGAAAATATTTAAAATAGGAAAAAAATGAAAAGGGGGGCAAAAAATTCTGACTTCATCTACATTTATTGTCACAGTCGTGTAAATGATCAGTTTAAGCCTTTTTTATGTTTATTCAGATCTTATTTTCATTCAACTCCAGCAATAGCTGGATTCCTTCATCCATAATATTAGGGTTTTCCTGGAATATTCTACAACTTTTGTGAGGCATATATGGAATTTCTGCTCAAGTGTGAATGAAACAGGCATTACATGCATTCAAAGTGCTACAATGCCCACATCAACCTATTTTGAGGAAAACTAAAAGTCTCCCTCTAAAGAAATTTGAAGTAAACACATTTCTAGCATTTAAATCTTTATTTTTTGTACTATTTTTGATACAATTGTTTTTTAAAAAAAGCCCATTGAATATCAATATTTTGCAAGGTATTGAATTTAGAAATTCCAGTATCTTGACAACAATACACCTCAGTTAATCACTCTGTCCAAATAAATGTGTGTAGCTTTGTATCACATTGAAGGCTATATCATTCTTTGGGGCTAAGCCCCTTATCCCTTTCGACCCTAGCAACGCCCCTCTACTAAACATACATAATCTACACTTAACGACAATCCACTTCTTTTCTTCGATAAGTTAAAAATAACAAGAATAAACTGCAAAAATGTAAGTCTCCAGCCTGCCATTGTTCCCGTTTCTGACTGTCTGTAGCGATGATGGGCGATTAGCAAATTAATGTTTTTACCGGATCTTAAGTGAACTGGTCGAACCAGTTCATAAAATTGAACTAGTTGTCATGAAACAGTTTGCGTCTTCAGTAAGTACTTAATTACTTACTTTTTAACATACTGGATACCCCCTCTGACTCTAAATAAACCACTATACTAAGTTATTCAGTTGGTAGAACAGTACACTGACTTGCTGTGAAAAAGAGACCTGATGATGAGTGCGAGCCGACTGTCTGTTGTCAAACTGTTCATTGAGTGCGTGATTCAACCTAAGGTGATTTTCATTCCGCATTATATTTTGTAAAAGCAATTTAAGCAAGGTAAAACGTAACTAATTAAATTTTTTCTAAAAGTAACTCCAATAATAACACTTATTTTTAAAAGTAATGCGCTACTTTACTCCTTACTATTTTATTACATAATGTACATTACTTATAACGCATTACCCTCTACACTGATTGTGTAATATACATACAAAAATCACTACTTAAAGGTGCAGTAGGTGATTGTCTTTAGAAACATTTTTGTTGTGCTGGTTAAAGTCTCTTCACAGTCCAGTGGTGCTGATTAAAGTAAATGATCTAAATGGGTTTATATGTATTTTTTTATTCTGGGTAAAGCATAAAACTAAAAAATGTTCATCCAATTAAATATTGTCAGACCGACATCTCCCAAAATTCCAATAGTCTGTCAGCAAATGTAAATTCGGACTTCTGCGCATCTGTTCACACAGATTCGCCATTCACGCGTGCCCGTCTGCATAAGCGCCGCGCGGTCACGAGACAGACCGGGAGAAATCAAATGCTGAATTGAAA